CTCCCTGCTCTGTCTCACTCCGCTGACTGCTCTCCAGGCACTCTGGGACCCTGGCCTGTCAGTGGGACATAGATTGGGATGGTGAGGGGAAGCAGAGGTCCAAGCTAGAGAGACTGAGTGCACATAATATAGAGGAGACTGTGTGCACATAATATAGAGGAGACTGTGTGCACATAACTGTGTGTGTGCATGTGTGTGTGAGGGAAAGAGAAAGAGGAGTTGAATAAGAAAGCAGCTCTTACTGCTGTAGAGCCTTAATTGGGTTGCTCAACAAAAAAAGAAAAGAGGGAGGGGAAAGTGAGATGGAGCAGGCGGGCTAACTCCATCAGGAAAGTGTGTCTACTTGTTTAACTGATACGGTGTGGGCATAAATCTGTTTACAGACACCTTTTGGGTGAGACATCTCACCTCTTAAAGTAGGCCATTAAGTTGTAGGATGAAGGCCCCTGCGCCTGAAGTGATGGAAACACAATTGTGTGCGTAGTTTATCCGAGCGCTTTCAGTGAGCAATGTATGGGTTTGTATTGCTTCTGTATAGTCAACAAAAAATGCATGTTTGTGGTCAGCCTGTGCTTTGCAAACCTAAATCTTGCTGGTTGATTGATTTTGGAACCACTCTGACACTTTCTGTGTGTTTGTGAACCGTAGGGGTGTGATCAGTCCCATCGGGGGTGTGAAGGGGGGTCGAACTGCACCCCTGCAATGTGTTTCTGTAGCCGAGGGCCACTCAAAGCCAGTGCTGTGTGTGGACGCTACAGATGAGCTGCTCTTCACTGGATCTAAAGGTAAACACATCGCTAAAACGGCAGCGTTGGAGTGTTTCCTTTGAAATGCATTTTACAGAGCTTATCAGTTGAAATTGATTCCTCTCAAGCTATAAACCAATTAAACTGAAATTGTGCCATTCTAAGTAAACTGTTACTGAGCAAATGTTTCTGCGATGCTTCGTAATTTTGTTTAACAGAGTGAGAGGAGGAAGGGATTTTATTACAGTCTGACAAATAGTTGGACTGACTAGTGGCCTGTTTGTAATGCGTTTGACTTTCTCCCCTCTTCCAGATCGCACCTGCAAGATGTGGAACCTGGTAACGGGTCAGGAGATCGTCACCCTCAAAGGCCACCCAAACAATGTCGTGTCTGTCAAATACTGCCCTTCCTCCTGTCTGGTGTTCTCTGTGTCCACCTCCTACATCAAGGTGTGGGACATCCGCGACGCGGCCAAGTGCGTCCGGACCCTCACGTAAGTTTCATGCAGGAAACCCATCGGGTGGAAAAGTTTAGAGCTTTTTCCCGAATTACAGCCTTGCTTGGAGAGATTTAATGGAAGTGATTTTAAAAGGCTTTTTTTTTCCTTTTTTCTGCTCAGCGATGTGCCTGCAGTTGAAGAAATATGACAAGCTAAAGTAGAGGAAATGACAACTGCTGATTGCACTTACTTCTCTGATTCTTGTGTTTTTTCTTTCTTCTTCCTCTTCATCCCCACAGCTCCTCAGGGCAGGTGGTTTCAGGTGATGCATGCGCCGGCACCACCACCCGCACAATTACCTTTGCTCAGGGCGAGTGTCAGATCAACCAGATAGCTCTCAACCCGTCAGGATCAGTGCTCTATGCTGCTGCTGGAAACACTGTTCGCATCTGGGACCTCAATAGGTACATTTGTTGATGATCTAATCCGTTAATACATTATTATATTCATTGATCTACTCATCAAGTTACTGCTTAAAGACTCTGTGAGTCATTCCTGCGAGCTTCATCTATGCACTTAATTTCTTTACTGCCCACTCTTTAAATTCATTTAGACATGGCTGTGGATGTATTCACTTATTGCATGTTAATAAGCCAGCGAGCTGATTAACATTTGATAGAAGAGCTTCAAAAAGGCTGACAAGAGATTCAAAAAGACGGCAAAAAAAAAAGCAGTGCTGAGGATATGAAGCGTGCTCATGAGCATGTTTTCTACCAGGAATCATTCCTGGGATCCTGTGGAAGCATCTCTCTCTCCTCAGTTTTTATGCTTCTAGAGGGAAATTATTAACAGATTGGACCAGACAGTTTACGCTGAGGGCTCAGAACCATTTAATGATGCATAAGAACCCCCCAGAAATGAAAAATGAATGTATTAAACATTTCATTTCTGCCCATGGCTTTGCCGCGTCTCTGCAGCTTTACTTCACTTGTGAGAGAGAAACTGGAATTATTCAGCGACACCTCCAAGTTTGCTCAAATGATGAATTTCACAGGCCTTTGTTTCACCTTGTTTTGGTTTCTGCTTGTTGTGTTTGTGTATTTTGGTTTGTGTGTAGGATGCAAGCGATGGGGAAGCTGACAGGCCACATCGGCTCTGTCATGTGTCTCACTGTGGGGCAGTCTCTGCTGGGCAAAGATCAAGTAATCACTGGCTCCAAAGATCATTACGTCAAGGTACAGCCTAAAAAAACCCCACTCATTCTTAATCTATCTGAATATCATTGTCTGTCACCTGATAAATCAAAGATACACACAAATGTTTCCTTTCCTGTCAGGTGTTTGACGTGGCAGAGGGAACTCTGGGAAACGTAGGTCCAGCTCATAACTTTGAGCCTCCACATTATGACGGCATCGAGTGTTTGGCCGTGCAGGGAGACGTGCTGTTCAGTGGATCGAGAGACAACGGCATCAAGAAATGGGAACTGGAGCAACAGGAGCTCACACAGGTGTGTGGATGCTTGCATCTCTGTGTTACAGGAGGGGTCTGAGCAGACCTCTATCACTATTCTGAGAACATAACCAACACTCGCTGTGGGTTATTAAAAAACAGGGCTTCATGTGGCAGATGTATTGATTCCCACACACTATGCGAGGTCAGTAGGTCTGAGTGAACAGGAACAAGACTTATTTTATATTCAAGCGAGCGCAGAATTCGTACATCACATTTAAAGAACGCCTCCTTGACTGCGCATCATCGTAAAATCCTCATGAAATGTGGTACGAACCTGCCTGTGAGGCTTTTACTTCACAATGTCTTGACCGTTATTATCTGCAGGGCAAAGTCAATCTTTCTGCAAAGTGTAACAGTGCTCTGGTAGATAATTGCCCTCTGATCCTCTCTGTCAGCAGTGAAGGCGGTTTTAATGAATCGGTTCTCTGGCGAACAAGTGCAGATTAACAGGAAACGAATTAACAAGTCCATTATCCAAAATGTCACAAATTATTTTTCTTGCTACTTTGTTTATTATTTTAAAAGGAAATTATTCCAGTTGCTCATGTGGTTTAGTGTTAATTGCCATGTGGTCGAGTCCTGATGTTCATATGTGGTGCCAGTTAATAGAAAAATATTAATTCGGGGACCTTTTTTTTTTTTTTTTTTTTTT